AGGAATTATTTGTGAAGTGTAAAGGAGCATCTCTTCTGGCTTGCTATGAACTCAAGAGATAGCTTAGCTCTGGCACTTAAGAATCAAGATGTGGTTAAGACCAGATCCTGGGAGTTCTACTGAGTAACTGGACAAACACAGAAACTGTAGCTGGCCGGGTGATTTATGAAGACTATCCAAGGAAAGAAAGGATATGGAGATGTTGCTGTACCACAGCTATGAGCTGTATTAGCCATATACACATCCACCTTATGGGTGTGCTTTCCTGTCATTGTTTCCTGTCATACTGTGCACTCACTGTGTACCCCATGGAAGCCACATGCCTTTGTGGGTGAGTACATCTGAGATTTATGGAGGAAATGTTTGGTAGCTAGTGTGCTTACTGTTCTATCTCAGCAAGTACTTTTGCTAAGACTTAATTATGTCTATGGGCTGACTATTCAGGGGAAACACACTGGTAGGGGATTGTGAGTTAGAGTTTTAATGAATGAATATCCATAGGGGGTTACCCAGACCCTGAGGGTAGTAGCTGCCCTTTAGTAACCCAAGCTATAAGGAGGAGTGCAAATAGAAGGAGTATCCCAGAGGGAATGCTACAGAAAGATGAGAAATAGAGAACCCCCAAATTAGCCTCCCAGCATTCTTTTGGAAAACAAAAGACTGTCATGTAATAACCAAGAGAACTTTGAACAATTCATGGACAAAAAGGCCCAACATTGGAGAAGCTTTTGACTGGGAACCAAGAGAAGCATCCAAACAAACCGGGTCATAAAGCTAAATGCTGTAATTGGCAAGTTCTTTACAATGGTGACTAACTAATTGCTATGTTAATACAGTCACCACGGGGGATTAAAAACAAAACAAAACTGTAGTATTGTTTTGGTAAACTACTGACTGACATAATTAGGCTCAAATAAAAAAAGGAAAAGGATGATTATAAATGGATTTACTATGGCCATTACAGATAGAAAAGGGGGGGGAAGAGAAGGCTTGGAGGTGAAGAGGGTGGGAATAATATTTTTATAACAAATAATGGGATAGGGACTGACCTATGATTTTATTGGTCTAAGGAACTCCTAGGTAAAAGAAATACTCTTTACTAATGCAAGTTTGCACCCTTCTGAAATGTATTGTCTTTGAGAGTTACTTAGAGCACTCAGAGGTTGTTAGGTTACTTTCCTAGGGTCACAGAACCAATATATATCAGAAATGGAACTTGAAAGCAGGTCCCAGATTCAAGGCCAACTCTCTATCCACTATACCATGATGTCTCTATACTAAATAAAGTTCCCTAAAAACAAAGGGGGAGGGGGCGATAATTTTCTTAAACTTATAGAGATCTCTATTTTATTCGCAGAAATAGAGTTTTGTTTAGTGGAGGGAGAAGGATTATATATTTCTGAGCATGTAAAATTTGGGAAAGGATTAGTATTAGTGAAATAAGGAATAATGCATTTTTTGTCTGACACAATGAATAGTTTAATTTAAAATAGTAGATAATGTAGCAAATGTAACAATTATAACCTTGATTGGAAATAGACTGAATTCTAGAAAAGGATTATTGAAAGAATAAGTTATTGGATGAATTAAAGATAATCCAATATTATATTGCTTACACATCTAGTACTGAGGAGTGTGTATAAATTTAAGATAGTGAATAGACTAAAGCTTCCCATGCTTCAACTAATTACAGAGATCTAGAGATTTGGTGATATGATTTGACAAAGCCAAACTGAATTTGGAAAGCTTTAAGAGAGACATATAAGAGAATTATATTGAAAGGTACTATTAATAACAAAAGTTATTAACATGAATAGCAAAAGTTATCAAGCATCTGGTAACATAGTGGCAAAGTACTAAGAATATAATAGAATAGCTAAATTACTTTTAAAAATAATTAGAAATCAATAATACTGAGAGATTTCAATACCCCAGTATTGGAATACAATAAATCAAACAAAATGAAGTTGCAGATTAATGTCCTAAAGAAAGTAGATTTAATAAACATATGAATGGAATCATATAGAAAAATTAGGAAAGTTACATTTTCTTCCAGAAATGATGAGATTCAGGGACACCCCAAAATGTTGGGGTGCAAGGTCATCTTGAAAGAATTTGCTCAAACTGTCTCCAAATCAAGTAAAGGCATTTCTTGTGGGTAACACAACACATCAAGCAGGCTCCTTTGCCCCTGAAGGGAGACACAGCTAAAGAGAGACCCGAGTTTAAGGGGGGGTGGCAACCCCTTAAGGGAGAGGGGGCAGTCCCCGAAGGGAGGGGGGACCACTTAAGGGAGATGTCCCATAACAGAGAAGCTAGAGATTCCTATAGAGGAAAACCTGCCATGGATGGGATATGAGGTAATCTGGGACAGTAGTTCAGAGTTTTGGGCATTATCTTCTATCACCATCATCATCATCATCATCATTAGTATTATTTCATTGTTCAGCCCAGGGTGGAGGGGCTGGGGGGGTGATTCTTTAGTTTTGGTATTTCATTGACCAGCCTACTTCAATCTCATTGCCTCCTAAAGTAGCTTTAAGTGGTACTCTAGATAATGGACTTCTCATTGACTACTATATTTGAATCTCATCAAGATAAGCATTTGAAACATATAGAGAGATTGGAATATTTATAAAAATTGATCATGCACCAGGACACAATGGGAACATAATTTCTGTCACATATAAACTGAATTCAAAAACAGTGAAAGATAGAATTCTATCTCAGTCCTTCTACCAAGTAAATGTACTTCTGATCTGCAAAACTGTCAGAAGTGAGAGGGGGACAGAAGGGAGGGCATATTGGAGGAGGGGGTAGTCAGAAGCAAAACACTTTTGGTGAAAGGAGAGAGAGAATAGAATAAATGGGGAAAGGAATAGGATGGAGAGAAATAGAATTAATAATAGTAACTGTGAAAAAAAAATTTGAAGCAAATTTCTCTGATAAAGACCTCATCTCTCAAACATATAGATAACTGAGATAACTTTATAAAAATAAGAGCCATTCTCCAAATGATAAATCATCAAAAGATATGATCAGTTTTCAGATGAAGTAATCAAAGCTATCTATAGCCATATGAAAGGTTACTCTAACTCACTATTGAGAAATGCACATTAAAACAATTCTGAGGTACTATTTCATACCTATTAGATTGGTTAATAGCACAGAAAAGGTGAATGACAAATGTTGGAGGGGATGTGGGAAAAATGAGATATTAACACACTGTTGGGAGAAGTTGTGAACTGATTTAACCATTCTGTAGAGCAATTTGGAACTATGCCCAAAGTGCTATAAAACCATGCATATTCTTTGACCTAGTAATACCACTACTAGGTCTGAATCACAAAAGAGATAAAAAAGAAAAGAAAAGAAAAGGATCTATATGTCCAAAAATATTTATAGCAGCTTTTTTCTAGGGGCAAAGAATTGGAAATTGAGGGGATTCCCATCAATTGGGAAATGGCTGAACAAGTTGTGGTATGTGATTATGATGGAATATTATTGTACAGAAAAACCTGGAAAGACTTGCATGGACTGATGCAAAGTGAAATGTACTATGTACAAGGTAACAGCAATATTGTAAGATGATCAGCTGGGAATGACTTAGCTATTCTCAGCAGTAAAATGATCTCAGACAACTCTGAAAGACTTATGATGAAAAATGCTATCCATCCCCAGAGAAAAAATTGATGGTGTCTGAATACAGATTGAAGTGCACTTTTTTTTTACTTCCTTTGTTTTTCTTGAGGTGTTTTTTTGTCTATATTTTCTTTCACAACATGACCATTATGGATATGTTTTGCATGACTACACATGTATAAGTTATTGAATTGCTTGCCTTCTCAATGCAGGCATGGAGGAAGAAGGGAGAGAATTTGGAACTTGAAGTTTTAAAAACAAATGCTAAAAAATTTTTTATATGTAACTAGGGAAAAATAAAATACTAAATAAAAATACAGAAAAAACTGTCAGAAAAAGAAAACTATAGGTCAGTATCATCAGTGAACATCACTGCAGAACTATTCAACTAAATATTGGCAAGGAGCAAAATATTAAAGAATCATTCATTATGATCAAGTAGGGTCATTATGATAACCAGAAATACAGGAATGGTTCAGTATTAGAAAAATTATCAGGATAAGAAAAAAACATTAAGGGGCAGCTAGGTGGCGCAATGGATAGAGCACCAGCCCTGAAGTCAGGAGGACCTGAGTTCAAATCCAGCCTCAGACCAAATGCTTGACACTTACTAGCTGTGTGATTCTGGGCAAGACACTTCACCCCAATTGTCTAAAAATTTAAAAATTAAAAAAAACACAAAACTTTCAATAAATGACAAAGAGGCTACTGAAAAAATACCATATCCTTTAATTTATAAAAAAATGCGTAAGAAGTATAGGAATGAAAGAATTTGTCCTTATCATAAAAAAAAAAAACACCCAACATTTATCAAGAACTAGCATTACAGGTCATGGAAAAATGTTAGTTTTCCTGCTAAAAAGAAGAGTTGGCCATTCTAACCATTCCACATTGGTATATAAATACTAGGTACAGCAAAAAGGTAAGAGAAAAAAGTTAGAAGGAATAAGAATCGGCTTATAGAAATTAATAAAGATGCAAATCTCTCTGTTGGCAGATAGCATGATCATAGATTTAGAACCAAAAAAATTTACCAAAATAATATATTGTTTTTGTATTACAGCAGGATATAATATAAACCCACAAATCCTTAGTACTTTTACATGTTCCTAATGAAAAAATGCGAAGAAATAAACATTAGGAGAAATACCACAGCCGAAGTGTTAGACTTGGAGTAAGGAAGGTCTGGGTTTGATTTCTGCTTCTGACATTTACTGGGATCTTAACATGGGAAGATCACAGCATCACAGCTCTAGAGCTGACAGAGATCTCTGAAGTCATCTAGATCAACTCTCTCATTTTACAAAGAAGGAAAGAGAGGCCTGGATAGAGTAAATGACCTGCCCAAGGTCACTTACCCAAGCATCTGAGACAGGACTTGAATTCTGGGAATGGCTCTTTTTTTCTCCATCACACAGTCTCACATTTAACTTATCTGAGCCTCAATTTTCTCATTGGTAAGGTGGGAGATAATGAAAGCTCCCCTACCTACCTCAGGGAGTTGTCATGAGGCTCAAATAAGATTATTGTAAAGAATTTTGAAAACTTTAAAGCACTGTACTGATTCCCGTTATTGTTAGTGACAAACTACTGACCACTTCTACCTTAACTGGTCATAACATACTCAAGTCCTATATAAAGACAAAAAGAAAACAATTTTAATGGAAAGAATAGAAAAATTAAATAATTAGAAAGTTATCTAATGGAGACAGCTAGGTCATGCCTATATAATAAGATGAAAATACTACATGGATGAATTTGTTGTTGTAATAGGTTCTAATGCCAATACCAATGGGCTTGTTCATAGAAGTAGATAAAGGGATGGTAATTTTATCCAGAGTAATCAATGGACAAAAACACCAAGGCAATGTACATAGGAGGGAAGAAGGAAGAAGGCTTAAACTACCAGATCTTATCTGCTAATGGACAGTTAACAGAACTGTTCTGGAGTTGCATTAAAAAAAATACAGATCAATGGATCATAATATTCTAGAAATAGAGCCTTGGTCTCTAGAGCTTCTAAAATTGAACACTTCAGGACAAATAACACCTAGGAAAGGAACCATTATTCAATAAAACCTGTTAGGGAAATTGAAGAAGAGTATCATGGAGAAATGGGAATAGATTAACAATGAGTTCCAAACACATAAAGGATCAGCAGGTTTTAAAAAAACATATTATTAGGCAGTTAGAAGAAAATGGAATAATATATGCACTGTGAGCATGGGGAGGAGGGAAATTCTTATTTCTTCAAATAATAGAAGACATTATAGGACACAAAAGGGATGGATTTGCTGATATAAAAATAGAGTTTTTGTACCACAAAAACAATGCATTTAGAAAAAAAAAGAGAAAGAAAAGGATTGGGAAGAAATGTTAGTATAAACATTTCTGATAATAACCTGCCATACAGAATCTATTAGGAAGTGACACATTGTAAGTGAATGATCTACTCTTCAATGGATAACAATAACAACAACCACAACAATTGCTAGGGTTTATATGGCCCTTGAAGATTTGCAAAGTTGCATTTGTTATCTCATTTTATAAGCCGGTGGTCAAAAGATAAGGGTCTCCAAAGAGGAAATACAAATTATCAGTAGAAAAACTGTTTAAACCATTAATAATCAGAGAAATGCAAATGAAAACAAATCTGAGGTGCCAGTTCGTACCCATTGAATTGGCAATGGTCATTTCAAATGGTGAGATTCAATGCTGGTGGGGCTGTGGGACAACAGGCATGAAGCCACATTTCTGGCAGAGCTATGGATTGATATAATTTTCTTGGAAAGCTATAAGAAATTATGCAACGAGTCACAAAAATGTTCATAACCTTTGACACAGCGATTTCACTACTAGAATAAAGATGCTAAAGATGATAACAACAGGGGAAAGCAAAGTATACACAAATATTCATAGAAGCTTTACTAATAATAGCAAAACAAACCAACCACAATGACAACAATAGAACACCCTAGAAACAGCCTGTGTTCCCAGTGGTTAGGGAATGATGGAACAAATTGTGGGACGTGAGTTTATCGGAACATGTCTTTACCATAAGGAAAGAGGTGTGAAGAAGCATGGGAAGATTATATAAACTAGTAAACTTTAGAGTCAGAGGTCCTGGGCTCAAATCCCTCCTCTGAAACTTTCTCTCTGCATGACTTTGCACAAGTGACTTGTCCTCTCCAGGCTTGTCTTTCCTCCTCTATAAAATGAGGGTGTTGGCCTGGAAGGCCTCTGTGTTCTCCTGCAGCTGTAAATCTGTGATGTGGGAGAAGAGGCAATTGAACATCAAGGTAACAATAGGAAAACACAGTATTACAGAAGAAGTAGTAATAATAAAAAAGTGTTAACAAGAAATAAATAGGAAATTTAAAAAGGCTTGGAACCAAGAGGTCCGGAAGAGGACTTAAAATTATCTTTAAAAAAAATTATCGTGTTAAAGCTAACATGCACATTTTTTAAGAAAAATTGAAAATAATAAAGGCATTATTTTTTAAAATCAGTTTACGTAGTGTTGTTGTCAGCGGTCAGTTTAGTTTAGAATATCAAATGAACAATGTGTAGAAACTGCAGAGGGTCCATGATGGTGGCATCATAGAGAAGGTCTTGGTTTGGGAGTTGAGAGATCTGAGTTCTAGTCCTACCCAGTCCTACCCCTCTCCTAACAGAGGACCCTTCTGGAGGCTTTAAGATTTACAAATCGGTTTATGGGCACTTGATCCCCATCTCAACCCTGGGGGTCAGGTCAGGTGAAGCCTTATATTGTTAAAGGAGTGCCAGAGGCAGAATTTGAACCCAGCACCAGCCACTTCATCTCTCTGTGGCCTATTTCAAAGAGCTGAACTAGAGTAAGAGCTCTTAACATTTTTTTTTTGGTGGGTCATGGAATCCTTGAATAAGCTGGTGTAGTCTGTGAACCCTTTCTCGGAAGAATGTTTCTAAACACATAAAATAAAAGGCAGAGGAAGAAAAAGGAAACCACTAACAGTCAAATACAGTCATCAAACTACTCTTAAAAATCTACAGTTCATAGAGCCCAGGTTAGGAACCCCAGACCAGATGAATGCTCACAAATCTTTTAGCTTTCTGAGTCCATGAGTCTAAGAATCTGAAGGGTTAAAGAGGGACAAAGATATCCACTAGAGGAATGGAGACTAGTTTCTGTGAAGAGAGGACAGCAGAATGAGGAAGACCAAGGCTGGAAAGAAGAGACCTGGGGGTAGCTCTGGGGGAGGGGGTGGTAGAGAACTGGTTTGCTATCCCTCTAGGTCTGAGGCTGCTCTCCGTATCCATCAGAGAACTAACAAGAGGCAATCAGCCCAAATTGAAGCTGATGAGATGGTGGTCAGACATAAGGAACCCTGACTTGCACAAATTGCTTAATTCAACTCAATCCAACCCAACAAACACATATGAAGATGCTGAAATCTGATGGGTAAAAAAAAAAAAGGAGCCCAATGAAGGGCGCTGAGCTTCTTCATAGCATCAGACCCCTTCCAGCTCCAAAACCACATAGTGACAGAGGCTGAAGGAATCTTAGAGATTCTCAAGTCCAACCACCACATTTTATATAGGAGACAGTCTTTACATAGTACTTCTTATGTAAGGAGGAGACACAAGGGAGCCTCTTTACCCATCTGCCAGACACGGAGTCACTTTTGGTGACCCTCTCTCCCCCATCCCCCGTTTGTGACATCATTCCCAAGTGCTGAGCTCTTCAGGCTTGAGACAGAACACTTGAACATGGTAGGGGTGGGGGTGTTCACAGGCTGAATTGTTTTCCCTCATTACACTTACATAGGACAATTTAAAAACCTAGCCAGTTTCTATTACCTAGCAGAGTGCTGAGTATGTATTAAGTGCCTGTAAAAGTTTGCCTGATGAGTGAATGAATGACTTCAACTGCCAGAAAAGTTCTATATTGATCTGGCTCCTTGACTCCCAACTCCATAGGTGGGGGCCTCTGAGTCTGCATCTGCTAAGTAACAGACAAGGGCTTTATCATATTATGAGCTTCCAGAATTCCCCAGGGAAAAGCCTTGGAACTTCATTAATGTTTTCCTCAAGTCATTGAAAGAAGAGCTCCAATTTAATTGCCTGGATGAAATACGCAGTCCCTTCAATTTAGTGTCATTTCCCATCAGATCTGCCATGAAGGGGAATTGATGACTTCCAGTAGTCTGTATACCTCATCTTCCCCACCTCCTTCCAAGCAACTCTGATGAGTTTATGAAGATTTTACTGGCCAGCATCCTATTCCCACTCTATCGCTAAGTTCAACTATATCCCAGCTGGAAGAGCATATAATCTAGTTCCAACCTGATTTTCCAGACTTTATTTTATATTGCTTCCCTTATGCACCTTGGGTTCTCTTGTCTGAATTCATCATTTCATCTCTAGCATCTGCCTGGCATCCCTCATGCTTGGAATGCACTCACTCCTTACCTCTGCCTCCCAGTATCCTTGCCTTCCTCCTAGGCTTAGCCACTTAGCACAGAGGCCTTCTCTAATCCCCCTATCTCTCTCACCTCTCATTAGGTTATGCTGACATATCTGTGATCCTGTTGTACCTTTCCCACCTCCCTTCAATAGAATGTAAAATTCATTGTGGATAGGGCCTGGAATTTGTTTGTTTGCTTGTTTTGCCTTTGTATCTTCAGCACTTAGGAAGGAAGAATGGAAAGAAGGAAGGACAGGAGAAAGGAAGGAAGGAAAGAAGGAAGGAAGAAAGAAAGAAAACAAACAAATATTTATTAAGTACCTACTATGTGCTAGGCACTGTGCTAAGCACTTTTCTTTTAACAATCTTCTTATTTGATCTTCACAACTACCCTGGAAAGTAGGTGCTGTTATTATCCCCACATTACAGATGAGCAAACAGAGGGAAAGTTATTTACACACGGTCACAAAGCTAGTAAGTGTCTGAGGCTGTATTTGAACTCAGGTCTTTCTGACTCTAGTTCCACCACTCTATCCACTATGGCACCACCTAGCTATCTCTTAGCTCAATATTTAGCACCTAGTAGGTGCTTAATAAATACTTGTTGAATTGAATTCAAGTCAATTAGACATTTTCCCTCTTGTAAGTTACTTAGTTCATGTGCGGATTCAATTATGTCAGTTTTATTTTTTTTTAAATAATGACCTTCTCCCACCTTGTGGCACAGCCTCTGAGGCTGTTTCCATATGAGGTTTAGTTGGAACAACCAGTGATGAGAAGACTCAGGGGACCCTGAGAGCGGTCTATAAGCACTAGGAGGGTCAGCTTAGGTAAAAGTGATTGCATGTCATCTACTTGGTCCTGGGAGGCTGAACCAGGGGCAAAGGTAGAAACTGCAGAGGGGCAGACTGCTGATGTCATGGAAAACTTTCTGACAGTTAGAACCATCTGGAAGAGGAGAAGATGGCCTCAGGAGGTAATGGTCTCCTATCACTAGAGGGATTCTAGCACAGGTGGATAAGGCCTTCAATGGGCATGGTCAGAGGGGCATCTGGTTCAGACACATGCTAATTTAGCTGGCCTCTGGGGTTCCTTCCAGCTCTGAGATTCATCCTGTGTTTGTATGTGTGTGTGTGGGGGGGGGGTGGAAATATGTGGAGAATTCTACAAGGGATGGGGGTGGCCATGTGCCGATGGGGAAATATTTGGGGAATACAAATGGGACAGGGATGGCCAAGGGATGAAGGGAGGTGGGCTCAGAGGGGAGCTGTGCATCCCTGGAGAAGCACAAAATTCTGAGCACTCTTCCTTCACCTTGTATAGCATCAGCTTCCCACCCTACTCCATGAAGTCCCCATCACAACTACCCTTCCCCCTCAAGCATTCAACTTATAGAGTCCTGAGGCGGTTTTAATTTTGTCTTTGAATCTCCAAAATAAGCAGAGTCCTGCAAATTAGTAGATGCTTAATAAAAAGTTGTAGAACTGAATTGCGTAACACTGAATTGAATCAATAGAATTCCTAGAATGGAAAGGAATTTCTTTGGTCCAGAAGGCATTGGGGAGATTTCTCATAGAACAGTGCTTGGCACATAGGTAGGTACTTAATCAATGCTTGTTGACTGACTGACTAATTAGTTCTTTCCTGGTCTGAAGAAGTAGGGACGGCTATCAACATGAAACCCTCCCCCACATATATCCCTAGGGAAAGCTATGTTTGAATGAACCTAAAGGGTCACCAGTACCCCAGTCACCCAACCCAACAACCTCAAAAGGGCACCTGAAAAAATGTCCCACTAGAGGCACTAATAGAGTCATAAATATTTAGGTGAACTGTTACCGTCTTCCTCTGTTGGTGATAGCTGGCATCCTCTATGGAATCATCAGATTTCATTTGATTCATCTTGTTTCTTCTTTCTTTGGCATTTTTGGAGGCTAGAGGTGACATTTCAAAGGAAAGAAGTGAGCTTGTGTCAATCCCCATGGCAGCCAGGACCTGTAAAGAAAAGATATTGAGACACTGGACCCAGAGGGTACCCATGTCAATTACAACCATTGTGGTGAAATGCTTAGGAACTATGGCACATTTATGCCCTGGGCTACTCTGCTCAGAAAATTATGTATTGGGAAAATAAGTGTGTTAGCACAGGCAAGTGCAGAGTGGAAATAGTCAAGCGCACTCAGTGGAATCTAGAAGAGCAAATTTCAGAAAGCTTAGAAGTGGCAGTAACCTCAGAAACCTTCTAGTCCAACCCAGAGCTGAATAAGGAAGGAAGGAATGAGAGAGGGAGGAAGTTGAAAGGGAGAGAGGAAAGGAGGGAAGAAGCAAGGAGGGAAGGATAGAAGGAAGGAAGGAAGGAAGGAAGAAAAGATGGAGGGGAGGAAGAAAGGACAGAGGAAAGGAAGGACAGAGGGAAGGAAGGAATG